GAAATACACGTACATATTAAAACTGGGTATTGCGCAGATCCCCACTGAATGTAGAAAAATATTATTTTTTAAAAATACCCCTTATTAAGGGAGTTATTAATTTTTGAAAATTAATTCTAAAACAAACGTACTTCACTGATATGTTGAGGATGACCTATATAAATTAGGTTTATTTACCTATTTTAAACATCAACAGTAATTAATATGCAAGTTTTTGTCAGATGATAAGAAAACTAGTCTTGTAAGAAATAACCATGTTGCCAAGATTTTCGAATTAATTTCTATTTCCGAAGACTGGTTTTTACTACCCTCGTTATCAAAAAACTAGAATATTTGATAAATGATTGTTTTTAAACTATACATTTTTGAAACTATAGATTATTAAAATTTTAGTTGATTTACGAATTTGGCTAACACGAGCGCGTCATTTCCAAGTTGGTAAAAAGTGTTGTTACGATTACTTTTAAATATTTTTTTACGATGCCACTATTTACGAATATTGAACTAACGGATATAGTGCTGGTTTATGGGGCAGCTGGAGAAAATTCTCGGCAAGCACAAATCCTGTATCGCGAACGGTTTCCAAATCGGAAAATTCCGGACTGTCGTACGTTTATTTCAACTGTTCAGCATCTAAGAGACCATGGAAAATTTGAGAGTGTCAATGCAGATCGAGGGAGAACAAGAACACAAAGAACATTGGCGGCCGAAGAAGAAATATTGGAAGCTGTTGAAAACCGGCCTCAATTAAGTTGTAGAAGACTAGGTCTTGAAATTGGAGTGTCCTCATTTGTTGTGTGGCGGACACTTAAAGAACAAGGTTTACATCCTTATCACATCCAAAAAGTCCAGGCCTTATATCCAGGTGATGAAGAAAAGAGAGTGGAGTTTTGTGAATGGATGATTCAAAAATGTGTTGATATTCCTGATTTTCTAAAAATATTATTGTATACTGACGAGGCTTCATTCACTCGTGATGGCGTGTTCAATATGCACAATACGCATATTTGGAGTGATGAAAATCCTCACGCCATTAGGGAAACTGGGCATCAAAGAAAATTTTCAATAAATGTTTGGGTTGGAATAATAGATCAGTATTTAATCGGGCCTTATGTTCTCCCGAACAGATTAAATGGGCCAGGATATCTCCACTTTTTAGAAGATATTTTGCCAGTACTCCTAGAAGAGATACCGTTACAATTAACGCAACGGATGTGGTACCTACTAGATGGCGCTCCTCCTCACTTTGATTTAAACGTACGGCAGTTTTTGAACATTAGATTTCCTCAAAAGTGGATAGGCAGAAATGGACCTACTAAGTGGCCTCCGAGATCTCCGGACTTAAATCCATGCGATTTCTTTTTGTGGGGTCACATGAAACAACTGGTTTATAATGAACCTATTAATAGTGTTGAACAATTAACCAATAAAGTTAATGCGGTAGCCGAGGAACTACGACAAAATCCAAGACTAATTTCTAATGTTCAAAGTTCTTTGGAAAGACGATTGCAAGTGTGTGTAAATAATAATGGACGGCATTTTGAACAATTACTGTAATAAACTTTATTTTGAATTAATTGGTTTTGCTACGGCAACAGTGCAATTTCTATGGGTAAGTTCAATTTCGATTTATTTTACTTCTTTAAATATGGAAACTAGTAGGTCGGAAAAGGGGACTCTTCCCCAATATTTAAATTTTAGAATTTGAAGTTAAAATTGGTGCCAATCGTTTTTGGTCATTACATACTATTCCCCATTTTAATATGTACGTGTATTTCAATAACACCCTGTATATATTGCGTACTTATTTGTAAATATGTTTTATTATTTTTATTTTTTTTGTATAGTTACCATTTGTTCATATTTGTATTTTTATAATCTGTAAGTTTTCCTACTCTATAATTGGATTTACATGTTGGGTAGTGTAATAAAAAAAACTATTCAAAATTTCACACCGGACACTAACATAGACTCGATAACAGACAGATCTGAATCATTCGGCGATGTTCTTCTGAAAGTATGTCACAAACAGCTGATGTTTCGACAACGACGCAACTTGCTCTAGAGGCCTTTAAAGCAACTACAGTTAAGTCGTTGTTCTCCCATATGTGTTAGGTATTTTTGAGAACAGTGAAATACTTAACTACAATTACCCTAATTATGCAGTTACGTCACTGTTATTCTGGAACAGCCATATCATGACGATAAATATTCATTTACTTCTTTTTCTTATTTAGTTGCATTGAAGATGAACTATTACAAGCAAAAAATTGTTTTTATCATCCTTATTATGGTTAAATTACGTTATTTTTTAATTCAATAATATTGAATTCCTACGCCTATGAGTTTTCAATTGTATAGTGACAGCTAAGTTTATAATAAAGTTAGTATTTTTTTATGAACTGTCATTTTAAGTTCAATATTGTCATATATTTAATGTCTTGTAGTTGCAATTTGTTGATATTTTGAGTTATTTCGTTATTATTTTTGGTTATTTGGTCATTATTTTTAGTTATAAAAAATTGTTCTTTTAAGAAAAACCATATTATCTTCCTTGCAGGTTTAAAAATGCCAAAGGAATTAAATAGCCGATGTAAGGAGCTCATGGTTTCATTGATACAGCATTTTGAACAAGAACGCGATAACAATGGTCCTTTATTACCTTTAAATGCTGTTGGAAAAGTAAGTTTTTACTGATATTGTCTAGAAATATCAAACTAATCTCATTTTTTAGCGTGTATCGGCAGCACTTAACTTACTTTTTTCTACTGTAAGTGCTATTTCTCAAGCAGCTGAGAACGATGTCGTTTTGAAATCGCCTCCAAAAAGCGTCTTCGTAGAAAGAAAGTAACTAATAAAAGAACTCTAGATACAAGTACAATTCGAGATATTATTTACAACATGTATGAAGCTAGTAAATGTAAATTATTCATTTTATATCATCTAATTATAAATACCTATATATTTGTTTGCAGACCAACACGTAACTTTGGATTCTTTTTTAGAAGAATTGAAAGAAAACGAGTTGTTTAATGGATGCCGCATGTCATTATGCACCTTATTAAAAGATATTGATTTTAAATGGAAAAAAGATTATTCAAGGCGAAGGCTTATGGAACGTTCCGATGTTGCTGTGAAACGGAGTGTATTTTTAAGAAATTACATGAAAGAATAGGAAACAGGTTTATTTCAGTTTATTTTTATTGAAGAGACGTGGATTTTTCTTAAAATGGGACTATAAATCGTTCTTGGCAAGACAAAAATAAAAAGTGTGAAAACCACAAAAGTTGATGGTAAAAGGTACGTAAATAATTACTAGAATATAGCTTCATGCTTCAATTGAAATTTTTATTTATAGGTACATTATACTCAATGCTTGAAATGAAAATGGGTTCATTGAAGAAGCAGAGGCTAGGTATATTTACGTCACAACGTAAGCTGAGTAATTATCATGGTGAAATGAACAATGAGAATTTTTTTAAATGGTTTGGAGAACAGTTACTGAAAAAGCTTGATGACCATCCTTAATAATAATGGACAATGTTTCATATCACAGTTGTTACGGTTTCTTTTTAAATTTGTAAACATATTTTTATTTTAATGGCACTTAACGGTTTAGTGTATGTGGACTCTTAGGTTAATCTGTAAATAGGTGCGATATTGGATGACCTTTTACTTAGTAGACTGCTATCATTTTGTAATAGTCTATTTTCATTTAGTTAGGGATGTTATAATATTTTTGGTTTAATCCTTTGGTCTTATAAGCTGGGTAAACAGTTTTTTTAATAGGGAATATGGGTAATGTTTAGGGTTTTAAGTAAATTATTTAATTATGCTGGCTAGATGCCTAATGTAGTCAAGGCCAAAATAATTTTAGGACTTCGGTAGTGAGGTAGAGAAGAAGAGGTAGAACTTTCTCTCTAGCTCGAGCGTTTGAGCAAGAAAGGCGGGTTTTGTGGGCTTTTGTGTAAGTAGGGTGTCCAGGACTTTAGAGGAAGAATATGTTTCCATCGGGAAGTATCCGGATCCATTCTTGGACCTACTACCTGTACCTGGTTGTAGCGGCTGTACGTATTTTTGATTTTGTTGGTGAAGTACAGTTCATATGGCCCGTACAACCATACCCCTATGGGGGATTTGATATTACTTATCACAGCACCACGCCACCTTTCCCGGTCCCCAACAGCTATACTTCGTCCAGGGATAACGCCCGGAAAGAAGTAGGAACCCGAGCTCCAGGTTTGGTAACATGCCTGGCTGAAACCCACACGGTACCCCTTGTAAACCATTTAGCAGTTTTGGATTATGTTTTACCTAGCGGCTCCAGTCTTTGTTTCATTGTCGCTACAAGAAGTGGTCGCAATCAAAAAATTTACATGACTGATCTTCTAGCAAAACAATACGGACATAAAGTATTATGCCTTCGTCCTTATCATTGTATATTCAATCCAATTAAACTTATTTGGGGCATTACAAAGCAATATTACAATAGACATATTCGTCGAGATGATAAAAAAAGAAGATTGTTTAAATATGTGGTCGAAAGCCTTTTATTATTTAATATTTACTTTGTTATTTGTATAGGAATTTTATATAACTAACAAACTTTAAAATAAAAGTCGTTATGTTTTGAAAACTATTTATGTTTTCATTTTTTGATATCCAAATATAGATCATGAATATGAGGGGTCCTAATATGTATCCTTGTAGGACAACAAATTTAAATTCCAAAGAATTCGACACAATAGATCGAAAAATGACAGTCAACGTACAATTAGTTAAATAACACATTTTTACTAATTTATAAAATAAACTTGAAAAAAAAATTAAAATTGGCCGCACCCGAGATTTATTTAATCCCCAAAATTTTTAAAATGTCGTTCAATCTGTCTCTCTGTAAAAGTTGTTTAAGATGATCACGATTAAATATTGTAAATAAAGCAAAACAAGCAATGGATAGAAGCCGCGGACAAAAAGCTAGATGATAAAATGTTACTTACATCCAGCCATTCCCAACTTGCATTGGGGGTGTATCGGGATATCCAGAAATTGACCTGAAACAAATTATTTATTTATGAGCGGTTATAAAAAAGGTAAAAGGAGAATTTTGTTTCAAAAGTAAAGAAGATCAAAAAAGGAAATTTATTAAAACAGAGTAGAGACGGAAAGACGCTATTACTGAATATGGAGAGTTCTATAGTCTAGAGAAGAAAGGAGTGCAATAATTTAATTTTCAGAACGTAGTACAGGTTCAAGAGGTATACATTTTATTGATACCTCATTCTTCAATGCTTATTTGTAGCTAAAATTAAAATTTTAATACATTTGATCGGCAAAATAAAAGTTTTCGTTTAGATTTTTACTGTAATAAACCTTCTCTTTTGACAGATAAGTCACACTTTATTTATTCATAGCCGTATGTATTTTAATTGATTCGAAATCTAGTAAGCACAAAATTACCTACAAACGACCTAGTGAACATAAGGCATTATCTTTAGAAGAAAAAAAAAATATCGTATTTAATAATCTTTGAAAAGACTGTTTTACTTTCTGTGAATGAAATAGCCACTAAATGTGGGACCTATATTGGAGTAGGTATCTAAGCAGCTTATTAACAGAGAAAGACATGAATATTTAAGGAAAATAGCGGACGCCAGGAATCTGAATTAACATTAATTTTATTTAGATGAAGTATGTGTTAATACTGGACTTACAGTAACAAAAATTTGGCAAGATACTTTCATCAAACCTAAAAAGCAAGCCTTTATGAAAGAGGTATTAAAAAATCCAACGGGAAAAGAAAATCGTTTAATAATAACCCAATTTTCCGAAGTATAGTCTTCTTTTACATATGTCTCCAAAAGTAGAAGTCGTGAGACGGCATTGTCTCTCCTCAAACCATTTTGGGGTTATTACTCTGACCTCTTGTAGACTGTTCAACAATGGAGACGTTTAATAGTCCTACTTGTTGGTCCATTAGTTTTTTGATTTCTTCGCGAAGGTCAGATTTTTGATAATGTAAATTGACGTTTTTCTTATATATTTTATTTACCAACCGTTTGAGAGTATTCGATGGAGTTTTAGCAAATTTTCTTCGGTATGATATTAAGAACCAACTAAATTGGTATGCTAAACTCGCAGCATTGCATCTTATATTAAAACTATTTCTACGGCCGTAAAAAGATAAGGAATGTAATTGAATTTATTATTTTACATTTTGTTACTCACATATGCTATTCTGCCGTGCTTCGCTTAAAAGTGGTATCTCGGAGTTGCATTAAAATCTGCATATCTTCACTTCTATAACCAATTTTTAATTTTCTGAAGCCTGTAGAGCCCGTTTGATTGTACAAATCTTTCTGCTTGTCCATTTGTCGCTGGGTGGTAAGGGGCCGACGTTTTATGCTGTATTCCATTTGTTTTTAAAAAAAATTCAAACATATTCGAAGTAAATTGTGGTCCATTGTCAGATAGCAGTGTAATAGGTAATTGTAATAATTGTCCAAGTTGTTTTATGCACCAATTTGTAGTTGTTATTTTTGTCGGAATTGCTTCAATCCATCTTGTATATGCATCCACTACAATAAAGAATGATGGTCCTTGAAAACGTCCTGCGAAGTCAATGTGCACACGTTGCCATGGTTCCTGAGGCAACTCCCACTAATGAAGTTCAGTTTTAGGTGATTCATTTTTTTTTCACAACATTGCTTAGAGGAACTTACCAGATTTTCTATATCTTTGTCCACATTTCTCCAATAGCAATAGCTTCTGGTGAGCGCTTTCATTTTAGTCATGTCAATATGTCCAATATAAAGTTCCTTTAATACTTCACATCATGTTTTAGGTATCATTACTTTAGCTCCACGAAAAATACACCTATCTTGCAGCGCCAATTCATTGTATTCATAGCCTGGTTCTTTTAAACTTTCCCCATTCTGTAGTTTACGTAGTAAATATTTTAAATGATCATCCTTAGTAGTTTCTCTTGCTGGTAAAGTTACAATCTGATTTAACTGAAAAATTTCGTACTGATCTTTAAAATTGATGATACTTTCTTCAACTGGAAATCTGGACAAAAAATCTGCATTAACATGCTATGTTGAATGACGAAATTGTATATCGTAGTCATAGCTAGATAAAAAGTGTGCGTAATGAAATAGTCTTGTTGCTGTCATTGTAGGTAAATTCTTATTCGGATTGAAAATTGATACTAATGGTTTATGGTCCATCCTAGGGTTATCATAGAGTCTGTCCATGCAAAGATTTTTGGTTTCTGTATCTTTAGGGCTTGTATCGTTTTTTCCATGAGTTTTCCTAGGAGCACTGCAGCACACAGTTCCAACCTTGAGAGTGTTGTTTTTTCTTTTACTGGAGCGACTTTTGATTTTGCATGTAACATACTGATATGTGATATTCCATTTATTCGTGTTTTACTGCAAATTACGGCGCCATATGCTTTTTCAGATGCGTCGCAGAAGCCGTGAAGTTCAATTTCTGTTTGATCGAAGTGAATCCGTCTTTTAATTGTAATGTCTTCCACACTGTTCAGCTGCGTTTGAAACTATTTCCATCGTAAGGCTATTTTCTGGGTGACTGGTTCATCCCAGCTGAGTTTTTCGAGCCACAATGAATGAGTAATTTTGCTTGAATTACTACTGGTGACAACCATCCTAATGGGTCGAAAAGTTTAGCGATTTCAGACAGAATGTGTCGTTTTGTAACAGCTTCTGTCTTAGAGTTGATTTTGAATTGTAATTGGAATGTGTCATCTACTGGAGCCCACATCACTCCAAGCGATTTTCTGGTTTCATCTGAGATTAGTTTGTCTATTTGATTACGGAAATTTTATGGAAGAGACTGTAGGAGTTCTGGACGATTGCTCGACCATTTTCTTAGAATAAAACCTGCGGATTTTAAGAGCTGTAGTAAGTCTTGTTGGTGATTGTGTGCCTCTTTTAAACTGTTTGCTCCAGATAGGACGTCATCTGCATAAAAATCTTCTAGCAGAATCTTTGATGCTTCAGGATATTTTGATTTTTCATCCAAAGCCAATTGGTTTAACGTTCTTATGGCTAAAAATGGAGCTGCTGATGTTCCATATGTGACAGTCGTTAAGTCATATTCTTGGATTTTCTGAGATTTGCCGAATCTCCAAAGAATTCGTTGGTAAGGAATACTGTCTTCGTGGATTTTTATCTGTCGATACATCTTTTCAATATCGGCTAAAAATACAACTCGATGTTTTCTCCATCTTAAGAGTATTTGGGAAATGTCTTGTTGTAGCTTTGATACAGAAAATATACACTCATTCAGGCTGATACCGTTTGAGGTTTTGCTGGATGTATCGAAAACTACTCTTAATTTAGTTGTCGTACTGCCTTCTCTGAGTACGGGTTGATGTGGTATGTAATACTTCCCCTGTCCGTATTTGTGTAATGATACTTTCTTCATGTGCCCTAATTTTATGTATTCGTCCATGAACTGGTGGTTTTGTGTTTTTAAGGAGGTCCTTTCGCCACCAATGTTAAATAAAAAATATTAGATTATGAGTAAAATTAATTTTTTTCTAATAGTAGATGTCCTTATTTATCTAATAGTGAACTTTTAACTATACCTTACCGTGCAAATTTTTGAGAATTTTTTTTTTAATGTGTATGTTTGTACAGTGTCTTATGAGAAAGTAAGACTTCAACAACAATTTTCGAATTATAATTAATTTTACTATTATTTATTGATTAGATGGAGTAGAAAAAAACTAAAAATAAGGTTTTTGAAATATTTAGGTTTTGTTTTTTACAATAAAATATATAGGTTACCGTGGAATTTATTGAGAAATTATTATTAAAAAATCACAAAAAATTTTCAACTAAGTTACTTGAAAATTTTTGTGATTTTTTAATATTAATTTCTCAATAAGTTCCACGGATTACTATATATATTTTATTGTATAAAACAAAATCTAACCTTATTTTTAGTTTTTTTCTACTCCATCTAATCAATAAATAATAGTATAATTCGAGAATTGTTGTTGAGGACTTCCTTTCTCGTGAAGCACTGTACAAATACATTAGAAAAAAAAATTCTCAAAAATTTGCTAGGTAAGGTATGGTTAAAAGTTCAGTATTAGATAAATAAGGACTTCAACTATTAGAAAAAAATTAATTTTAGTCATAATCTAATAACTGTTTTTTTAACATTTGAGGCGAGAGGTGTGGCGAAAGGACCTCCTTAAGTGATTATCTTTTTTGAGTTTTTGTTCCAGATGTAACAATCTCGCTGCTGCTCTTTTCTTGGAGTCTCCCAATTCTGGGTTTGCAGTTTTAAATGGTATGTATACTGTATATGTTCCATCCGGGTTTCGTGTAGTAGTTTAGTGATAGAATTCTTCGCAGACTTCGTCGTCTGGGTTTAAGAATTGTGGCGGACTAACTTCTTCGATTTCCCAGAATTTGGTTAACATCTTATCTTCTTCGGTGCATGCTACCATGCTTGTTATCTTTATTGTTTCAGTTTTTTGGGCGGCAATGTGACCCGAAAGAATCCATCCAAATTCTGTATTTTGTCCAATGATACCATCGTTTGTTTTGTGAAGACCATCCAATATCAATTTACTATATTCTTCTGCTTCAAGTAGTAAATCGATTGGACCTGTTTTATTGAATGTTGGATCCGCTAATAACCTATTCTGCAAGGTTGCTATATCAACGTGCAGTAATGGTTTTTTTGGGATAGCTTTTGTCAACTTTGACATAACCATCAGTTGGATATTCATGGCAAAGTCACTGGAGAATCTAGGTTGCAGATGTGCTTGAATTCTCCATTTTGAAAGTTTAGGCTTTTCATCGGCTAGACCAGATATTTCTGCTTCGATTCTTTCTCTTGGCAGGGCTAGCATTTGGGCAGCTTCTTCAGTAATAAAGGAGGCTTGAGATCCTTGATCTAGGAGTGCTCTTAATAGTACCATTGTGCCATCATTGGTTTTTACGTGTATCATTGAAGTTGGAAGCAAGACTTTATTTTCTTGTGTTCCTTTTTGTTGAGGTTTAGTAGTTGA